TTTTTTTACAATAGGCATTAGATTCTTTAATTGCTCTGGGAAGGTGTTTTGTCCATGATGACAGGAAACAACTGAACTGTATTTGACATGTGCAGTTGTGAAAGGCCCTCCAAGGCATTTCCTGACAGGAAAGGGTTACCTTATCTGTCTCTTGTTGATCTACATTTATTAGTCCAATGCCTGCCTTTGCCACATCTTCCACATAATCCAGAAGAGACAGGAATTCTATTGGGATTGTTCTTAGAAAAAACATTGTTTCTAGGAACACCCTATTTACAACCCCTTTTTAGGTGAACTTGTTTACCACGATTGAAACATGTGACATTTTGATTTTTCTCCAAATCTCTGGAAATCACCTCTCCTATCCAAGCATCATCATGGTTATGAGATTCAATATTGACTATCTTGGATCCATTCTTCTATGGGTGCTGTTCTTGCCTTTAAAGGCCTAATTACCCTTTTGCATTGTGAATTAGCATTTTCAAAAGCCAAAGATACAATTATTATTTGTCTAGCTTCTAAATATTTGGTACCATTCTCTTTACTGCTGAGGTCAATCTTTGTAAGAAATCAGTGAAGGTTTCTTTTGGGCCCTGTAAAACTTTAGTAAATGACTCACTTTTCTTTCCTACTTCTTCAATTCTGTTCCAAGCATTCAAGGCTGCTGAGCAGCATAAAACCAGAGTGCGGACATCATATAGAGATTGCCTTTCTGCATTAGCATAATCTTCCTCTCCAAGAAGTTGATCTTGGAAGATTTCCATACCTGTAGCCCTACTTTATTTTTCAATGGTCTTAGCCTCATCTTTCCACCAGGTCCTCTACTGTAACTAAGGACCAGGCTCCAAGACTGCTGTAACCAAGTCTCTCCAGTTTTGAGAGATAATTCTATTACAAATTGATCACAATTTTAGCATCTGCTTCACAAAAGGTGAATGCATGCCATATACACTATGGCTTCCTTGAATCTCCTCAAATCTATGTTTTTCCACAGAACTCCATTTAGCTCTTACACAGCCTCAGGGATATCTATCATTTGGCAGTTCCTGTAAGGTACTGGATAAATTAAGGTTGGCTGTTTGAAAACCTTAGGCAGTTCCTCTCTAACCTTGTAACACAACGCTGAGGTTGGTTCTCCTTCAAATTCCTCGGCTTGGGTCTGGATATCTCTATGATCTATTTTAGTAAGTTTTTCTAAAACTTTTATCTTGGCACTCATATTAACCAATTTTTTAATGATAAAACAAAAATTATAAAGCAGATAATACTTATAATTTACATTATGTAAATCCCCTCTAAGTTAATTATCCTCTCATCTAATTGTTCCATTGTCAAACCATGTATTGTGTAATCATACAGACACCTAACTCTCCATTATAATAGTGTTTCCCATTTTTTAATGTGGGAAAAACTATCTCATTTAACTACTTCCTCCCAGAATTCCCAATTGTTTCACCAAATCTGCTGCTGCTGATGATTCAGATGTGAGGCTGACTACTTCTGTGAAGAACAGTAGAAGCCCAAGCAGGTTTCAAGGCAACTACCTAGTATGGTAGCAGCCCAAGGAGGGTATCCAGGGAGAGCCTACAACCCACCAGGAGAGAAGAAGACAAAGAGCCAGCTGTATGCACAGGGGAACATGTAAAAGCAGTTAACTCCTGCATTTTTTGGAGCCTAAAGGCCTATGGAGTTTGCTGCAGATAGGCTGCAACAGAAACTTAGCCAGCATGGTTGTGACTCCAACCTTGCACAGCTCCAGCCTGCGCTGGTGGCTGCAAAGCCACAGGCAGGCACTTTTTTTTTTTTTTTTTTTTTTTTTTTTTTTTTTTTTTTTGTGAATTCATGCCTTAAAATTGGGTGCCAGATGTAGCACAAATCCTATTTGGTCTTAATAATAAAAACCCAGAGCCAGATATCAGGGTAAATGCTGGAAGATCAGAGAAGCAAAGCAGCCAGCCATTAGAGACACTTCTTACTTTTATAGAATCCTCAGCCAGAAAGGGACTGAGCTCCTGTCTCTTCCTGCCTTATATTCCTCTCTCCACCCAGCCATATCACTTTCTGTCTCTACCTCCCTAGTGCTGGAATTAAAGGCATAAGATCCCAAGTGTTAACATCAAAGGTGTGTGCCACTCCTGCCTGGCTTCTGTGGCTAGCTAGTGGCTTAGCTCCTCACTATGATCTTCAGGCATGCTTTATTTGTTAGATCACAAACAAAATATCACTATATGTTTTCTATTTTATAGGAACTCACAGTTAAGAGATTTTGGATCTTTTAGAGAGAGTTTGAACTTTTAAAGAGACGTTGGGTATTTCAAAGAGACTGAATTTTTAGACCACAGAACTTTTAAAGTTATTTATGTTTTATATTGTAAAATTATTATGAATATTAAATCCTAGAGATGAACAAAAAAGAAAAGAAAAGATTCAGTAGAATAGTGATGATTTATGTGTCAAGCTGTCTGAAGATTTTATGTTTTTGTCTTTGTCAACTTGATAGAAGTCAGAGTTACCTGGGAAGAGGAAATCTCAATTGAGAAAATGTCATCCTCAGGTTGCCTGTAGGAAAGTACGTAGAGCTTTTTCTTGATTAATTATTGGTGTGGAAGGGCCCAGTGCACTGTGGGATGAGGCATCCCTGGGTAGGTGGTTTGGGGGTTACATAAGAAATCAGGCTGAATGGAGGTCCCTAGGAAGACTGTGGCTTATAATAAATTTCAGTTTTACTCAATTATTGAAAAAAAAAATAGCCAAATGAATGGAAACACATGAACTATGAACCAAAGGCTGAGGGGCCCCCAGCTGGATCAGGCCCTCTGAATAGGTGAGACAGTTGATTGGCTTGATCAGTTTGGGAGGCAACTAGGCAGTGGGACCAAGTCTTGTGCTCATTGCATGAGTTGGCTGTTTGAAGCCTGGAGCTTATGCAGGGACACTTGGCTCAGTCTGGGAGGAAGGGACTGGAACTCTCTGGACTGAGTCTACAAGGTTGATCGCAGTCCTCGGGGGAGGACTTGTCCTGGAAGAGGTGGGAATGGAGGGTAGGCTGGGGGTAAGGGGGGGGGGTGGGAGGGGGGAGAATAGGGGAACCCATGGCTGATATATAGAACAGAATGGTATTGTAAAAAAAAGAGTAGATGGGGATACCTGCAAAGATCCCAACCTCTGGTGTTCAGGAACCATTCAACAAAATCAGGTAGAAAGAACACAAGAGCCAGACAAGGGTGAGGAGGAGTACTGTGAAATGCTGGCTTCTGAAGATGACATGGCTCTTATATGCATGAACTTATGACAACTGTACTTATGTGCCCAAGTTCACCACAAGATCAAGTCAGCAAAGCTTCCAGCATGGACATGGCAAATCTCTGGTGTTATTGGTTGTAGATGACTGCTAGGGGGAAGAAAGTCACTTTATTTTGAGGGTTGGCCACTGGCAAGTTTATACTCTTACAGCCAAACACATATGGGAAGCACTGATAGAACTCAACAGGTTATATAAGAAACAAAGAAGATTTAAAGCTGGAAAGGATATATTGGGGAAGGGGGGTCATCGGGAGGAGCATGGAGGAAGTAGAATGGAAGATATGATTAAGATGCATTGCAAAAAATATATGAAAACTTTAGAGTGAAATAAAAAATATTTAAAAAGAAAAAAAAAAAGAAATCAGGCTGAATAACCCACAAGGAGCAAACCAATAAGCAGAGGCTCTTTGTGTCTTCTGTTTCAGTCCCTACCTTCAGGTTCCTGCCTTGACTTCCCTCCATTGCAGAGTACAACTATAGGCTGAAATAAATCCTTTCCACTCTAAGTTGCTTTTGGTCTTGGTCTTCATAAAATCAATAGAAATATCTCCTAATCTTATAGATTGATAAAATTAATATAGTGAAAATTTCCATTGTACCAAAAGTAATCTACAGATTAAATGTATTACCCATCAATATTCCAACACAATTCTTCATGAAAGTTGAAAAAAACAAATTTCAGCTTTCTATGAAAACACAGACACACACACACACACACACACACACACACACACACACACACACACACACACAGGATACCTAAAATAATGTTGAATAATGATAGAACTGGGGGAGGTTTTACCATCCCAGATTTCAAGTTGTACTATAGAGATATAGTAATAAAAATAGCATGGTATGGCATAAAAACAGACACATTAGTCAACTGATGACTCAAGTTGAAGTCCCAGACATAAGTCCCATGGACACTTGAATTTTGATAAAGAAGCCAAAACATACATCAGAGAAAAAAATCTGCATCTTCAACAAATGATGCTTGACGAACTGGATGTCTATACGTAAAAGAGTGAAAACAGATCTGTGTTTATCACCAAAGAGATTAAGGACCTCAACACCCAAACCTCTAAGTTTGACAGATGAAAAAGTGGAAGAGTAGTCTTGAAGTCTTTAACACAGAAGAAGACTTTCTGAACAGAATGCCATTAGCACTAAGACCAACAATTAATAAATGGTATTTCATGAAACTGAAAAACTTCTATACGGCAAAGAACATCATTTGGGCAAAACAGCAGGGTAAAGAATGGAGAAAGATCTTCAACAATTACACATCCAATAGAGTGTTAACATATAAAATATATAAATCCTGGACATCAAGAAAACAAATAATCCAACTAAAAATGGAACATCACAGAACTAAACAGAGTTCTCAAAAGATAAAACACTAATGACTGAGAAACACTTAAAGAAATGTCCAACATCCTTAGTCTTTAGGGAAATCAAAACTACTTTGAGACTTCAATTTTTAGCAGTCAGAATGGACAAAATCAATAAAACAAATTACAACTCATGCTGGCAAGGATGTGGAGTAAGGGATATTCTTGTTGCTGGTGGGAGTGTAAACTTGTATAGTCACTATGGAAATTAGCGTGGCAGTTGCTCTGGAGGCTGGGAGTAGATGGGCCTCAAGATCCAGCTAGAGAACTCTTGAATGTAAACCCAAAGGGCTCTACATTCTACTACAGAGATACTTGCTCATCCATGCTCATTGCTGTAACATTGATAATAGCCAGAAACTGGAAACAGCCTAGGAGTCTATCAACTGGTGAATGGATAATGAAAATGTGGTACATTTACACAATGTGATTTATTCAGATATTAAAAAAGCAAAATTATGAAATGTTCAGATAAATTGAAGAAGCTAGGGAAACACATCATGAGTGAGGAGACCCAGACACAAAAAAAAAAGACAAATGTTGTCTATTTTTCTTATACGTGGATGTTAGTTTTTATTCCTTTGATGTATAGTTATGAGAGACAGGGGGAGACTGGAATAGAAATATTCAACGAGGAGGAGAAGGATAAGTCAGAAGGGAAAGAGAGAATATGGTGAAGACAGCTAACAGTAAAAGCCATTTGAGGGGTCACTTGGAAACTTAGTACTGTAGAAGCTTCCTAAAATGTATACATATATGAAAGGAGTCAAAAGAGAGTCACCAAACCAAAGGGGGGGACAATACCTCAACTAGCCATCTTTCACAACTATGTGAAACCTCTAGTGATAGGAATAGGTTACATTAGTTGAGTCACTGGTCAAAGGGGTCCCATGAAATCCTCAAACATCTGAGCCATTGCCAAAGTTAACTGGTTGTTTTCCATAAATGACGGTTAGGCCATTTTGCTGAAGACAATACTTACCTATCTTGTTGAATGTGGAAAAGTCAAGTTGGTGCCTAACTAGAAGCTTTGCTCCTACTGAGCAGTAGTCATGGGACTAGAAGTTACTCTGCGCACTATCAGAGGAGAAGGGTAACCAGCAACCGAGCACAGACCTGGAGTCTACAATGGTTGCTTGCCTGTATGATATGCTGATGTAATTGTGGCACAGATGTTGTGAAAGTAACCAACCACTCCTTCATGAAATTCATGGCCCACTTCACTCCATGATATGGAACCCATGCTTGACCTTACTGACATGGCCATGAACCTTAGGTTGGATAGGCCATGGATATATGGAAAAAACAGACACTATTGATCTATTAAAGGAACATAGCAATATAATGACTCCTAATGAGATTTTGTTATTCCCATAGATCAGTGATTCACTGAACCATCATCAGAGAACCACAACTGAACAATGTGCAGAGACTGAAAAATTTGGGGACACTGAGTCCTGAATGAATGTCTTTATCAAAACCTTCCAAGTAAGCAGTGTCTTCTAGATACAATAGAACTGATATGCACATGAAATCACAGAGATTATGGCAGCCTGCACAGAACATGCATAGGTTCAAGATAGACAAGGTTCCATAATTGAGAGGGGAAAGTGGACATGGGCTTTCATCCTTAACAGAGAAGTTATCTGCAATTGACACTGCTTGCAAAGGAAAAATCAGTTTTCTATAATGGAGTATCATTGGGTATATTAACTACACTCAAGGGCAAGCCCCACACCCCCAGTAGTAGATGGTCAATACAAAATGAGCTCAATGGTGTTTTTGTAGAGTTTTTGTGTCATATTGCTTTCTTTGGTCATTTTTTTTTTTTTGCCTTATTGGTCTTTTGTCTGTATATGGTTTCTAATCTTGTATTTCTATGGGTTTTGGGCGTGTGTGTATTCTCTCGTTTTTCTTTGGTGTTTGATTATATTTTTTGTTTGCTTGTTTGTTTGCTTTCTAGAGAGAGAGAGAGGAGAGACAGAGATGAGTTTGAGTTGGTTGAATGGGAGGTGGGAAGGATCTGAGGAGTTCAGGGAGGGGAAACCCTGATTAGAATATATTATCTGGAAAAAAAATTTCAAATAAAATAATGCCAATTAGCACAGGTAGACTATAACCTATATTAAAATATATACTTTTCTTACCTGTTGTTTTTGGTGAAAGTATTTTATCATACCAATGGAAAGAAAACTAGAACAGGTCCAAAATTTCACCTTATAAAATTGCCCTTCTAAAAGAATGCTATCAGTTGTATTGCTACAGCAAAATTCCATATACCATATAGCTTACAAATGACAGATGCATTTCTCAAAGTTCTGGAACAACACCACATAACCTCCCTGGAGCTGTAATCTGATCAAATATGTCCAAATAAAGATGAATTTTGCAAGTAGCAGTCTCCCCCAATAGCCTTTGAACTACCATACTGTGGTAAGCTGAGGTTCCTGGAAGTTTTTAGTAATGTTCCAGGAGTCATGTAACATAAAAGGGCATGAACTCTCAGATACTATTGTTATGCTAATGGACAATGTATCTGATATAAATATATAAAAATGACAAGATCTATGCAAGGAAAATCGCAAAGCATCAAGGAACAAAATAAATGAGATCATCACATTTGTTGACAGGAGGACTTGATAGTTTCAAGCTATCTGTTCTTCCATCTTGAGCTATAAAGTTAACTCAATCTCCGTCAAAATCTCAGTAGGGTATTTGGTGCATATCTACAAACTAATTTTAACCTTAAAGAATCAAAGCACAGATTTAAAGAAGAGAGAGGAGGAGAAGGAGGAGACAGAGGAGAAAGAGTAGTGAAGTTGGAATACTTAGTCAAGGCTTCAAGATGATCTTAGTTGTGTGGTCAAAATAGCGTGGGCTTTTCCAAAACCAAAGTGTCATTGGAGTAACACAGAGCACTTGGAATACATCCACACATATCTAATCAGAAAGTCTCTGACAAAGAAGAAAAGGGAACACACCAGAGAAGCGAATCCTTTTGACAAATGGTGCCTTGAAAGCTAAAAATGAGAATGTGAAACGGTATGGCTTTCCAGGGAATGTTCTGGCATTTCCTTAAGGATTCAAACAAAGAGTTGACATATGACCCAGTAAGTTCACTTCTAGACATACTTCCAAGAGAACCGTAACCATTTTCCCATCTATAGACTGGTTTAAAAATGAACATTGCAGTGTCAACTGTAAAAGTCAAAAAGGAGAAGCAGTTCAAACGTCTAATGATTGAGAAATGGCTAAACATAATGGGCATATGGAATGCTACATGATCTCATCGAAGAAGTCAAATATGGACACAACCTACAATCCAGATGAAGTATAAAAGAATCTAGATGTAAAATTCCCCTGTTGCATGTTTCTACTTAAATATTGAATGTCTAGAATTTAGTCGGAGAATATACTTGTGGGTTCTGAAGGCTAGGGAAAAGCTCATGGGAAGACATTCCTGAGGGATTCTGAGTTTGATTGGTGGGATGATGAAGAGGCTTGATAATGGTTGCATCTGCCTAACTCTGCGAATACTCTAAACTGTTCAACTGTACTTTGTATGTATGCACGTGTGTTCATGGTATGTATATGTGTATTTATATGGGTGTGCACACATGCACACATGCAAGTGCACACATGTTTGTGGAAGACAGATGTCAAAATTGAATATATCTCCTTTGGTCACTTACCAATTCTCTCACTGAAGCTAGAGTTCATGATTCAGGGAGGCTGGCTGACCAGTGAGCTTCAGGGATCCCCAGTGGCAGGGTTACAGACATACACTGCCTCACACTGGCTTTTATGTGGGTGTTGAGGTCTCCGTTTGAGGTCTTCATGTTTGTGTAATCGGCATTTTATCAACAGAAGCATCTCCTGGGGCCCATCTATACATTGTAAAATTATAAATTTTGTTATATGTAAGATAAAATATTATTAAAAGCCAAGTAACATGAAGAGCAGAAATAGTTTGGGTTTTACAAATCCCAACAGCAAAATTCAAGAGGGTTGGATATTTTCTGTTTTTAATTTAAACACTCATTTTCTTATTTTTAAAATGCCATGTTATAGGAAGGAAAACACTGTTCAGATGGAGCTCTGGGAATGCTAGAACTGGGGAATGGTTCCATTCCTCCCCATCTCGTGATGAAATCTTTCTTCTTCCCCCAAAGCATAGAAGTTATGTTTATGAGAAGTTACATGAATGGAGTAGATTTCCTGAAGAAGTGAGGTAATTCTTAGAGAAAAGGCTCTCTTGCCCTGACTCCCCCTGCGCTTTTAGACTCTAGACTAGGTATGCTGTACTTCACAGCCTTTCACTGTCATTTGCTGCCTACAGATAAGTTACTCAGAGGATCATCAGTGATCGTGGTTAATACTGATCGTCAATTGACAGGACCTAGAAATACCACAGATGCAAAAAACCCTGGGCATTTCGGGGACAGAATTTCAGGATTAGGTAAACTGAGGTAGGAACACAACTCAAGAGTAGACAACACCATCCCATGGGTTGGGACCCTGGACTGAATAAAAAGAAGAAAGCAAGTTGACCTCCAGAATTCATTTCTCGGTTCTTCCTGCCTACAGATGCCATGTGAGCAGCTTTTCCAGAGTCCTGCTGCCGTGACTAACTCGCCATGAAGGACCGTGAGCCAGAATAAACCGTCTTTCTTAAGCTGCTTTCCCCGGGTCTGTTATTACAGAAATGGGAAAGTAACCAACACACTTGCCTTTGTGTCTCTAGAGTATAATTGACTGTTACATTTGATGACGGCAGATTCGTTCTGCCACAGGTGTTGGAGGAGCAGCTGTAGGTGCTAGACGAGTTCCTAGCGCTCATGCCACAGTGGTGTGGAGAGGTGCTTTATCCCTCTAGAGCTTTCACTTGGGGGAGGAAGACAAAAAGTACATAAGTGGACAAGACAGCTTTAGAATGTACAAAGTATCATAAAGAACAAGATAGCAGAGACAGCTGATCATGAGGTCCGGGAGGGTCACAGAAGAAAATGCAGGACAGAGCTGTCAAAGACGATAGAGGCACACTCAAGGTCAGCTTGGACAGGGCAGTCAAGTCACCAGACTGACACTGGCACAGACTATACAGAGCCACGATTAAGTGAGAATTGGATGCTTTATGGAAAATGCTTCCTTTTCATGTTTACTAGGTTGTCAGTAAGTAATAATAGTAACGTACAATAGTCAGCACTGGCCAACAGCTTGGTTTCTCTTAAGGACTGCAGCAAGGAATGTGATGGAGCTGTGAATCGCGGCGTGCATCTCCATGGCGACAGCCAGGGATGACCTGATTACTCTGGCCAGCATGGTGGTGATGCTTTTCTGCCTCTGGACTCGGTGTGCGTTCCTCTCAGGATGAGGATTTCCTCAAATGGGGACAGACTTCTTAGGAGATAAACAAGTAGGGAACTCTGGCTTCCCCGCTAGCAGCTCCATTAGTGGATGTACCCGGTGCCGTACTGTGCACAATGAATGCTTTTTCTTTTTCAATTAAAATTGATCAGCATGACTAATACTAAAAGGCCCCCTGCTTTAAAGCTTCTCTGGATTAGCATTTGGCCTGTGTGGGATGCCACAACACAACTGTGGAGGTTCTTGTTCCCAGCCGCTCCAGGTTCCCGGGAAAAGCCCAAGCGTAGGACGATACTGCGGAGCTCTGTTAAGATGTGAATCCACTCCTGCATCTTGGCATGTCTCTGTTGTTACCTGTGGCAGTGGCTCTCATCTGGAGGACCAATTAAACCCAGCCATTCACTATCGATCCAAAACAGATTTCCTTTTGTACTTACTACGATAATTGTTCAAGACACCAAGGGAGGGGATGATGAAATATATTCACAAACATTAAATTAAAGCTCCACTTTATTTTCCATTTTTCAATATAGTGGAAGAAATTTCCTCTCTAGGTGTAGCCATGGCTCTTCTTCTTCCTGCGGCTGATGTCATGAGTTAGGGCTGGGAGTTACTATGTTGCGTTTGTGGTCATAGTGAGTTGATTCGCCCCCCCCCCAAACAAAAGACAATAGAAACAAAGCTTAAAACTATAATGTGCTCCAAAACTCTCTGGGAATTAGGAAGGGAAGAGCAAGCAATGAAATGAATGTATTAGTTTGATTCATAATTTATGTGCAAAAATACATGCTTGGGAACAGCCCAAGCAGATATTCTGTGCCATATGTTTGCTCTAGCATGGTGGACTGCTGTCGATTACAGTGCCCGAGTGATAGAGCTTCTTAATTGTACTAGTTTGTTACTCTAAAATGAACACATGATCATGGTATTGGAGAGATATACTCCCCTTAACAATCCTTGTTTTCTCTTTCTTTCTTTCTTTCTTTCTTTCTTTCTTTCTTTCTTTCTTTCTTTCTTTCTTTCTTTCTTTCTTTCTTTTTTTTTTTGGAACTGAGTTTCATGATAGGGTATCAGCAGTCATTTCCCAGATTAAATTCCTATGATTTAAAGAGGCAGCTGTGGTGGCCTTATTTTATTTTATTGTATTAACTGTATACAGAAGAGTTGCTACTGTTGGACCCTTTTTAAAATCGTGCAGATACAGGAGTTTTTGGCGGAAGAGGGATTTTCTGGGAACAAGCATAGGTAATGAAGGTACAGGTGTTTCACCCACACTTTGCACAGACGCAACCACAATATTCAAATACAAACTCTGCAACCAGAAATGATGACTGGATCCCATTCTTGTAAGTTTGGATGTGGCTCGGGACATGGCCTATGAACACACGAATGTAAGGTGATTCCCAGGCTCTATTCAAATTCCCAGAAGCATGTCAGCTGGCCTTTTGTTAACACCCTCAAAATGACCCTTCTTGTGATTCACTTGTGAAGCAACTTACAAAAGCCATTCTACATGTCAAACTTCATTCTGTGCAATTTTCTCCTGGTTGAAAATTGACACTAAAGATGTTTTGTCTTTCAGAACACTTCCCTTTGGGAGCCAAAGGCCTGATGATGTATAATCCTTCCTGAAGGTTTTATGGCAAGGCTTCACAAAGCAAACATTTTTCCCTTATGTTATATCACCCTGACAAACAAAAATGCTGAGCCATTTAATTACCAAGCCTGCCTGACACATCCAGAAAGTCAAATATTCTGGCAGCGTCTAGCTGAAGGGGAAAAATGCATTGAATTCCCAGAGTTACTTGTCAAGACAATGTCAACAAGGAAACTAGTAAATAATCCGGGGGGTCCAAGAGCTGGAACACTCCCCAAGGCTCTGCCTCAGCACCATTTGCCCCACATCTTTGCATCCCAGGATGCCAGCACTTGGAGCTGCAGGCTAAGGACTCAGGCGATGGTAAGCCCAAGACAGAAGAGCAGCAGGCAGGATGTATGTCCATGACAAGAGTCGGTCTACAATTTACAGAGTTCCAAATCTAGAATTTAGATGCGTAATTTCCAAAGTAACTGCTGGAAGGAACCTACACAGACATCCAGGGGCAACAGAATATTCTTGTGTGACAGACAGTCCCCAGGATTCAGATCCTGTCATGTTTTGGAGCTCAACACATCACCAGAATGTTCCCATTACCTTTATTTAATGTCCCTTCCTCTTCTGAGAACAGTTAATCCCTGTAACAAATTGCAGCCCATTTTATAGTAAAAACTAAGCAAACGTATGAAAATCACTCTTTAAATGCTTTGGTTTGCATGCTTGAAACATTTTCTCATTGTCTTTTTTTCTGTCAATCATATGTGAAAAGAGAGAAAAGTACATGTACTTTGAGATGGGCACTGTTGTGAACACTGGAGTTCTGTGGAAATGATACAGTCCTTTCATATAAATTATAGTCAAGTTTAGGGGCCGGAGAAAAAAATAAACCCGTAAAAGAGAAAACAAGAAGATGAGAAATAGCTTGGTGGGTGAGAGCACTTGCTGCAGGAGCATGAAGACCCCAGCACCCCTGGAAAAAGCTGGGCGTGGCCATGAGCTGGGCATTGCCATGAGCTGGGCGTGGCCGTATGCCTGGAACCCCGCACTATCAAAGGTGGAAGTAGTAGTATCTGGATTCTTGAGCTTGCTGGCTTCTAGCCTAGCTTCAGGCTCAGCAAAAGACCCTGTCTGAAGGAAGTAGAGTGATAAAATAGAATGCTACTACCTTCTTCTGACCTTCATGTATATACATGTGGGCATGAAAATACACACATACACACACACAACATATACACACATACACAAACACACCACACATATACACACACACCACACACACACATATACCACACACAGCACACACACACACACATATACCACACACACCATACACACATACCACACATACACATATACCACACACAGCACGCACACACACATATACCACACACACCATACACACACACACACACCACACACCACATACACACATATACACACACACCACACATACACACACACACCACACACACACATATCACACACCATACACACACACACACACACACACACACACACACACACACACACACAAAGAAAACATGTCATTTGGTGTTTGTTAGTCCTCTGAGTAAAACGGTATCGTACAGCAAGGAAGAGAACGGTGTCAGCAGTGAAGTTTTCTTAGGGAGATTTGTTTTAACACAGTTTTTTTAAAATTAGAAACAAGAATAAGGAAAATGATGGAATGAAGCAGCTGCAAAGCATCTAGGGAGAGAATATAAAAAGAAGAAAGAAAGTCCAAAAGAAATAAATGTAGATATCTTAGATATGTTAGATATGTTTATGGAAACAAAGGGCAATATGGCCAGAGAGTAATAAATGTTGAGTATCAACTCACTCAGAGAATGAAGTTTTCTTAGATACTCCTTCACTATGGTGTCTGCAAGATATGTCTTTAATGTAACCAACTGTGGTGGTTTGAATAAGAATGGCTGCCACAGGCTCACAAATGTCAACGCTCAGTCATCAGGGAATGGCAGCACTTGAGAAGGATTGGGCCTTGTTGGAGTAGGTGTGGCCTTGTTGGAGGAAGTGATATGGGCTTTGAGGTTTCGGAAGCTCAAGCCAGGCCCAGTGTCTCACCCTCTCTTCTTGCTGCCTGCAGATCCAGATGTAGAACTCTCAGCTACCTCTCCATCACCATGTCTGTCTGTCTGTCACCATGCTTCCTGCCATGGTGAATATGAACTAAACCTCCAAACTGTAAGTCAGTCCTAGTTAAATGGTTTCTTTTATAAGAGTTGCAGTGGTCACAGCCACAGAACACTGACTCAGACACTGATTCTAAACCCAGAGTACTGTGCTATGAGATCAGGTGACGTCTGTATGCTTTACACAACAGGAAGTTTGCAGCCATCTGATGGTTGCACAGGGGAAAGGTAGAGAGATATTTGGAAATCTGAGTGTGAACGACGTGTGCTTGGAAAGGAAAGAAGTTAAAATTGTTCTTGTCTGCAAACAGTGTGATCTTACCTGTGAAATATATTTTCCATTATATATCTAAACTTTAGATTATGGAAATAATTTCCACCACACGCACACACCTTCTCTCTCTCTCTCTCTCTCTCTCTCTCTCTCTCTCTCTCTCTCTCTCATAACCAAACTTAAGAAAGGGGATAGTTGTGAGATTGATGCACACTGCATTACTAGAAATGAAAACTCTGAAAGTTCAAAATAACATACAAAAATTTAAGTGC